TCGTTAACGAACATTTTTTCTGTGACTAAGACGAGACGTTGAAGAGCTAAAACTAATATCTGATGATAAAAACTATGACGAAATTTATGCCGCGTCTTCATTAACGAGACGAGACGGGACTATAATGTTATTTGAGGACTACCGGACATTCAAAATACATCCTATAGGCTACTGTCTTGTTCTTCAAAATGTGCGTCCCTGTCATTGGATTGCAATCGGATAAGGGGCGTTTGCATATGTAGTCTCAGTATGGCAGCCGCAGTGGATGGATAGGCTACCAAAATGCGAACTAGCGATCTGAAACAATGGCCTCTGCACCTGAAGGGGTAGGGATAGGGTGACCAGACGTCCCGTTTTTCCCGGGAGTCACAATTCGTTGTCAATTAACTTGAAGTTAGTGAAGGCGGGATAGGCAGAATCGCGCTGATAGAAGTGCTCTCTCTCGCGCACGCTCCACTTCTTCAGTTCTCATATACAGTGCCCGATCAGTTCTAAGTGCTCAAATACACACACAGCAGTCCAAATGTCTATCGTGTAGAGTATCTCACGTAAATACAGTCGGTTATGGATTAAGTGAACGTAAACAGGTGGGTGAAATCTGAACGTGTCAGTATTACATGCTTGCCTTCTGTCTTAAAGGGACAGCATTCCTAGTTAAGTACCTATCCATATCATTAATGTTAACCAACAAAAGATGTGTAACAAATAAATATGTTAAGTAAACTTACTGTATCTGAAAAAATGAATTTAATTTGTATCTCTTGTATTTGTCTTATTGTCTTATTCTGCTTCTTTTTCAAAAATTATAGATTATATATATTATGTATGTTATAGGCCTATACGAACAACTATAATTTTTATAAGTTGCTCCCTTTTCACAACTGAAGGGATAAAAGGGATAGTTCACCCAAAAATGAAAATTGTCATCATTTATTTCACATCACACGTTTTTCCAAATTCAATCCTTGACTCAAATTTCTCATAAGCTTAATTGATTTGGTCTAAAGAGAGAAGAATTAATGATTATATTTGTTTGAAGACTACATATAAAATAGCTACCAAAATAAAATGTTGGTAACTGCAGTTTGACTAAAAGTAATGACTAAAAGTTGACAAAAATGCAATGACTTTTCGTCGACTAAAATGTGACTAAGACTATTAAGCATTTTCGTCTCAAGATAAAGACTCAGACTAAATCAAAAATGCCTGTCAAAATTAACACTGATGCAGACAGTGCAACCAGTGCATCTCATCTCTGAGCAAATGACTCTTTTGAATCGATTCTTTTTAGTAAATAAAACTCATACAACACTCATACAGTATATTTTATCCCTGAAGAAATTACTCCTATGAGTTGGTTCTTTGTAGTGAATCAGACACATATGGCACAACCAGTGTATCATAAATCCTTGAACAAGTAACTTGGTGTGGTCATATGATGTATAATATCTGCGAAAAAGGTCCATTGTCTGTTATAGTGTAGTGATGTATAAAGCTCACACAGAATTCACCTTCAAACCAAGCAGAATTCTGTTGGTCAATGCAGTGAATGCATGTAACCAATTTGAACCCTTTGCGGTATATTTCACCCTCTTGTGAAATTCCCAATTGCATGGTTTCCTATTGAAATGACTGGATTGCATCCACAAATATTCACCATTTAAGGAGCTAGATTCTTTAAGAGGAATCTGAACCAGAATCAAGAAAATTCCCATCTCTGATGGTAAAGAATTAGCTTTATTTATTAGGACAGCATTGAACGTTAGTACGGTATCAGTGGACCAACCATGGTACATGAATTGACATTTGCCGTAATTAAAAGTGAAATGGTGTATGTTATATCCAAGCTTGTATTTACTTCACCCCCTCTGCATCTGTTTAGCTTGCTGTCCCCTGAAACTCTATAGCTCAGAGTTTCTAATTATGCTAATTAAATGCGTGAGGTCTGGCGCATACTCGTAAATGATTAATTGTAGCAAGACAATAGAATCACCGATACCAACTTATGGCAGCGTCTTCTAGTTTAAGCTATCCTGTTCCGTCTGCCTTCATTCCCCATTTGGCCTCTTTTCATTTTCTCTCTTTTTCTTTTTCTTGTAAGCCTATTGTTGGGCATAATTTGCTGCATTGGGTATTGAACTATTAGTGTGTGGGGCGGCCTTGTTCAGACTTCAATAGCAGGAATTCTAGAAATGTCCTGGAAAGATAGTTAGCCCTGATAAAACGTCACAAGCCATTTCACTATAGAAATAGACCCACAATGGATGTAGTTGTGTGTGTATATGTACATGTGTGCGTTTTGGATAACAAGGCCACGCTCTGACAAATGAGAGCTGGCTGCTTTGCATTGTGTAACTCAATTGGCGCTTAGCCACAGGAAAATGAGAAGGTTTTTTTTTTTGAATAAAGAAATTGAGGCTGTCAGATTTTAATACATGTACGTGCCATCTTAACGCTTTGGCGCTGAAAAGCTCAACTGACGCTGATTTGTTTATGTTTGCACTGCGAATGTAACTAACAGCATTTCCACTAAAGTTTCAAAGCAAATGTTCTCAGCTTGTTAACACTCAAGCAGAGAGCTGAGTACTCATTCATATATTGAGTTTCATGCTATTGAAACCACTGACCACTGTGGAAAATTTATCAGAAATGCATGACAACTGGCCTTATAATTTCCCAGGTTTTTCAGTCGTTCTTTTGAACAAATACAACAGTTCATTGTACAGTTCATTTAAAAGGTATGAAAAGCATGCTGTGCCTTTTCATAAATTCTGGTTTTCCATTATTGACCCTTATGTTCTGTTGAGAATGCCTTTCTGTTTTGTTGTTCAATTGTCTTGATCTGTTCCCCTGGCTTAATCAAAACCCAGTATAAGTATTATTGAAGTTTTAAAAGGTTCACCCCAAAATAAAAATTAATTATTTAGTTAACCTCATGTTGTTTCAATCCTATATGCATTTCTTTCTACTGCAGAACACAAAACAAGATTTATTTTTGAACGTTGATGGGTTCCAGTGTTGTATTGGACCCCACTGACTTTCCTTGTATGGACTAAACAGTGTAAACATTCTTTAAAATATATTCTCATTGTGTTTCAATGAAGACGGAAAGTCAGTTTGGAACAACACAAGGATTTGATTCAATTTTTCATGGAGGAAAACTGAAGTGTGTATCGACTTGATGCAGCAATTTTCTGTATGTTTTTCAAACTATTAAAATGGTGTTGGTGTATCTCAAACCAGTAAAAGATAACATGTATCATCTGTCCATTGAAATCTCTTTATCAGACAGTACCATTACGTTAGACTATTACAGACAATACTATTGTGACAGTTCTCCAGAGCTTCTCTGTGCCTCTCTGAAGTGCAGGGGTAATTTTCCACATAGATTGCATTGCAATTTAATTTTAGTGACATTTGTGTTTCCATCACATCTTCTCTCTTTCTGCTGTCTTTTTTTCAAGAGGGCAAGAGTTCCTGTCTATTTTCAGGCATTCAATTTAAAAGTCCATCTCTGCTTGCAGTAACTTTCTCAAGTACACACATATGCAGCCGCACAAAGTTATATGCAAAATAAATAAATACTTGGTACCTACAGTAGGCAGTACTTTAAAGGGATAGTTCACCCAAAAATTTTAATTCTATCAATTAATTACTCACCCTCTTGTAGTTCCAAACCCATAAGACCTTCGTTCATCTTTGGAACACAAATCAAGATATATTCAAGATATGACCCTCCATAGACAGCAACACAACTACCACGTTCAAGGTCCAGAAAGGTAGTAAGTACATCGTTAAAACAGTCCATGTGACATCAGTAGTTTAACCATAATTTTATGAACTACTTTATTCAAAATTCTTCTCTAGACCTACTGTGAGCTTCAAGGTTGTTAATCAATGCTATATGCACATTATTTAAACTTTTTTAAAATAAAAAAATAATTTTAACAGTAGAATTCCTGGTGAAAAACCAAGTGACCCATGATTTTCCAAAAATGTCTACACCAATCAAAGAATTGTAACAAGCAAATCATGCCCACCCATGAAGCACTTGCAATGGTATAATAGAGTCAATATATAGTGATATATATATAATATATAATGAACATCCTTAAATATTTTTGTATATATGTCATTTTTTTATTCAGATTGTCATAATGCTTCATGGCGTTGTAGTTCTGCTCTTTAATAAAGCTGTCAAGTACGCAGTCCCATACCTTTTTTTCACCCCAAATTCTTTTTTTTGCTTCAAATCAAAGTTTATGATGTTTTGATTCACTGAAGCTGGTTGGTTTGGTTCATGGCTTATAACTCTTTCATGAAGTCTTTTTAAAAATCCATATGGTATATATTTGGTGCCTAGCGCATTTCAATGTTTATTTTGGTTAGGATGCTGTCTGTAGCAGTAGACAGCAAGACAGCACTCTAGGTTCTTAAACAGAGCTTCCCACTCACATGTGCTCCGGCCCCCTCCCCAATCCTGGCTCTGTGTGAAGCCCTTTTGTTAGACGTCCGGGCAGTTCAGTCCTGGGTCCCGTGTCTTTGATGACAGTTCTGTGACACACCACACCGACTGGACCATTAGGGCTGACTAGCACAAATTCTATTGGTGGATAACTTAATTACTGATCTTAATCTCTGGGGTGATGTTAGAGATGCTTTAGGATCCATCGGAGTGCTAGTTTAGTTCACAGAAGTGTGCATCCTGCTAAATCTTCTGCCACCTCACCTCACTCTTTTCTCCATGTTCCTGTTATAGTGCCGGAGATCCTCTACCATGACGACTGTGGCCAGATCTTTCATCGGGATCTTCTGGCTCCTGCGGTTGGTGTGTGCGGTCTTCCCTGAGGAACCGGGACCTCTGAACTTTATCCCCACTGAAGGTAACATTGTCTCTGTTTCACATGCAGTCATCAAGGATCAGGGTTGGGCCCGTCTGCACTCTCAGGCTCTCAGCTTTCACTTTCTAATGCAGAGCAGGCATGTGATTGATCACTCATCAATAATATCGATTCCATGCATCCCTGCCTGCAACTCATGCTGGTCTATCTAATCTGAAAGATGAGAAAAGGGAGGGGGTTTATAACGCTCAGGGTAGGAGGATAAAGAGACGAGGAGCTATGGGAAGCTCTAGGGAGAGGCTTATCACATATTGAAAGAGAGGAACAGATAGAGAAGGAGAGTAATAAACAGGGATGTAAAGTACTTGAATATTTGTGCTTCATTATTATGATTAAGTATTATTGTGGGAAATTTTGGATCTTTTTCGCAAAATTGCGAGCAATGGTATATGTGACCAAAAAGGTTTTCAAGCTTGTTAGAACTCCCAAAAAGATAAATGTATCTATATATTTAATGTGAGGAAAGAATAATTAAATTGTAATCATGTAAATTTAGGTAAAAATTTGTTTGTTCATGTATTTATATTATATTATTATTATATTATTTTTTTATTTTAACTATTTTTAAATTAAATTAGACATTATTTTACTTTTTTTTTTAAATGTGATCCCTGATCTTGCCTTGATGCTTTTCTACTTACAGATACAACTACATTCAAATATCAAACAACAAAATCAGATATAAAATCATAGTTGTTTGATAATTTAATGAATTTAATGTTTAAAAATTTCCAGTAGCAATCTAAGGTAACAGGTTTCAGGATAATACTTTAAAATATATACACAAATATAGGCAGCTATATATTTTCATATAATGGAATTTAATTTTTCATTAATTATTTTTGTTAATATGATTAATAATAAGTGTTTTTTTTATTTACATTTTTCATTTCAATGTACTTTTTCCCCATTTTTGAAATTTAATTTTACATTTAATTTAATTTGTTTTACCCCTGATTTTGCTTTTATGTTTTCCTACTTCCAGCTACAATTACATTCAAATATCCAACAACTACAAAACCAGATAGTTGTTTGTTACTTGAAATGTTTAAAATTTAAATTTACCATCTTATTAATGTCATATAACAGGTTTCAGGATAAATGTTATTTTACACCTCTGGCAACAACACTACTTGACTAGGCCGACAGATGATGAGAACAGACGTTATCTGTGAAAACCACTGAAGAGCAACTACAGGCAGCTGTCAACATTTTTATCTCAAGTGTGACTCACGAGTGATCGAACGCCTCTCGCCTTAACGGATCACCTCACCCACACCCATAAGTGCAATGAAGAGATGATACAACCCTCTGTCAACCCTTTCCTTTTATCACTCACTGTCTCATCTACCTCTTTTCTCCTCAGTGGTGAGAAGGTATCCTGTGTTTCTTGGACGACCCCATCACTCATCACTCAGACAGGAGCCCTTACACATTCAGAGGATCCTGCAGGTCAATCGTACCCTTTACATCGGAGCCAGGTAGGGTGTGAAATAATGCTGATTAGCATGTGCGTACCCTGTAATTACCATTATATCAGCATCTGTAATTACCTGCACAGAGATGTGTGTTTAAGTAAATTATGTGACATTCAAAAACAATCTCTCTTAAGATCAAGAGTCTGAATTGCTGCTTCCTGTAGATAGTAATTAAACAGCTACCAAAGCCTTTAAAAGGGATAATTCAGCCAAAAATGAGGATTCTGCCATCATTTACTCAGCTTCATGTTGTTCCAAACTTGTATGCCTTGCTTTCTTCTGTGGAACACAAAAGAAGATATTTTGACATTTTTTTTATTTTTGGCTCATTGACTTTTACTGTTAAGGAAAAAGTCAGTGGGGTCAAAACAGTTAAAACAATCTTCAAAATATATTTTGTGTGTGTGTAAATTGGAATAATGTCAATTTTTTAAATATTTATTTATTGATTTTTTTATTACATTTTAATTGACTTTTTTAATGTAATTGTACTCTATCTTGTTTTATTTTATCCCTGATCTTACCTTGATGCTTTCCTACTTCTGGATACATCTACATTCAAATATCAGCAGATTTTATAGTGTTGCACTATTTGTTTTATCAAGTTGTTATAAAGATAGTTATTTGCTGATTGTTTTTTTGAGTATTTTATTTATTGCAGTTTTGAACTGTAATTACAATAATTCTCACAATGAGAGAAAAAATAAATTTTAAGTGTAAACATTTTAAGTAACAATTTAAGGTAACATCTTTTTCAAAATATCTTTTTCCTATTTTTGTGGTCTGCAGAAGAAACACATACAGGTTTGGAATGACAAGATGGTAAATTACATTTTTCATTTTAGAGTGAACTATCCCTTTAAGAAGCATGCTGAGTTATAAATTTAAAATCGTTATAAATGTGAAGTCTGGACACCTGTAGTCTTTTCAGGATTTTAGGCCAGGGTGGGGCTTTGAAAAGATCACGGGGTCAATGATGTTTTTGCTATCCTGCATTTTTTGCCTACAGGAGCCAGGGTTAGGAATAGATAAACAAAAATACAACTTCATTAGGTTTGGCGCTTTACAAAAATAAGCTGTGTTTTGTGAGTTTATGCAACATGCTTCCCAAAAATGGCTGGCACGTCCACTGGGAGAGTTCAAACATATGGTGATAGTTACCAAAAGTTGTAGGGGTCCGGAGGGGGAGGCATCATACTCTAATAAAGACCCACACCGTGTCAGGAAATTACCTGCCCCCTCGACCATGTCAAAAATTAAACCTCAAAAATAAATATATCACAAAGTGCCATATGACTTAAGACACCCAGAGACTGGGCTATCTCATAAAAAAGGGCAAAAGTCTTTGGCCTAAAGAAGCTCAACTCGAAAACATCGTGACTGTTTTATGTATGCTTTCCAACATGGTGCCACTGTGGCCGACGTAATTCGATGAAATTCAAGCCCCGCTCTGTGCAGTCAGCAAACTGTGTGTACCAATCAGTGTCTGAAATAAATGGAGGTGTTTGCTGTAGCAACTGAAAATGACCTCTGTGGAAAAGGAGATTTATTTAGCCGATGACTCAAGAGGGAGCATTCAATAACAACGGCAACATCGAGTGAAATAAAAAGGAGGCAATACTGCTTAGGTGCAAGGGAGAGAGAGAGTCAGTGAAGTTTCAAGTCAAGGATATAGACAGCCTGGATTGACTGAATAAAGTCTGCAACGGCGTGCTCAAGTGTGATAAGGGGTGCAGGCGGGCTAAATCCTGTTAGCATTAGCATAACCGCTCAAGAACATGCCCCAAGAAAGTGGCCAGCCTCTCAACCCCTTCACAGTATTACCTTGCCAACACCTGGTCAGGGATGAGAGTACTGAAGTATTTTATTAAACACGTTCAGTTTCCTCCAGAAATTTCTGGACTCCCACGCAAGCGAATGCAAACTAGCCTCAGACTTGTTGGGGGGAAAAAATCAGTCCAAGCCATAAATAAATACACCCATAAGACAAATTAGGTGTTTCTTTTGTGATCTGTGTAAATAATTAACGTTCCGAGTAACTAGAGGAGGGCGACTTAGATTGCCAGCGGCGACCTGGTTAAGTCACATTAAATCAAGCCTCAGCCACCTCGTAGTGTTTGACCTCGTCGAGAGGTCAAGTCTTTCAATTAGGCTCAGGAGTGAAACTCAACACATTTCACCCTCGAACCTGTCACTAACAGTGCGGGACATGTTCCGGCTGACCTCTGAGGTCACGGAAACACCGCCTGACTGGCGCACAGCCTCCAACGGTGCAGATAAATGAAGGACTCAGCTGCCGTCAGGGCTGCTGTGGGACACGGGAAGAAACGGTTTGAGACCTCCTGTAGTGCTACAATTGACAAATACACTTTCTCTTTTAGCTGTCTCCTTCATAGCTGATGTTAAATATAGTCGGGTCCCCCACGAGAGATCCTGAGTCTCTCAGGTCCCTTTTCTGCTTGTCAGTATGGTCATAAATTTGTAGCACTGAATGAGGGCATAGTATTGTACCAAACACACAGTACTGCATAATACATCCCTCAGCGTTCCTGCATGAGCTGATAAAATATACAATGAATGCAATGTAAGTCGCTTTGGATAAGTGTCTGCCAAATGCATAAATGTAACGTAATGTAGTAATACAGTAAAGGTGGCCAAAGGCACTCCATCATTCAGACATTCTACCAATCTAGAGTGCAGAAAGATAGATAGAGTGAGATGAAATCAAATAGGGAAAGTTAGAAGTTACAATCCATTACTATGTGGCATTGCCACGTGATTGCTATAAGATGGTACTGTATGGTTGCTTACTGGATAAAGTCAAAAGAATCCATGCCAGGTTTCTGATATTTTGGTCTCTCTCTGGGATTTAGATATTATCTGCCATGTGAAAATTGCAATTCAAATCTCAAATCTCTTGGAAAGTAAATAAAAAATAGTGCATAAGTAGAACAAAGTTTGGTGAATGAAGTTGTTGTAGTTTATTGCTAGGGTTGTGCAAAATTCAGATTTGAAGAATCCAATCCCATCCATCCATCCATGCATGACTTTAGGCCTACATTGCTTTTCTTGTTAAAAAACATTTAATTTGAATTCTGCTTCCTTGCATTTGAATTGTAATTCTGCATCCTGTTTGTTTTAGGAATTTAACTGGAATAAAATAAATGTTCAGTTCAAATCAGAAGGGAACACAACCTTTGGTTTATGCGCATATCATCTTTCTGAATAAAAAAAAGTATCCACCTTAAGCAAGTGTATATTGTTTTATGCACATTTTGGAAATGATCTTGGTTTTTCCATTCAGCATTTTTATGCAGTATTACTAAATTCACATAAGAATATATACATGGAAACTATGCAAGATGAGTTACATGGGGAAATTTTGAAAGAAGATAAAAACTACAGTTTGTGTACGAGATAGTGGAGGTACTGATAAAGAAAGAGTTTTTACTGGCCCCCATCTGTTCTATTCTTGCCAATGTTCTGCATGTCTTGTCCAAACCATCTGTGTTGTTTGGTAACCTTGTGCAACTATAAAGCCTGTTTTTATATTCATGTAAATGTGAAAGTACCTTTGAACTCCAAACAGACCCCTTGCTTTACTTTGCCGCTTGGGTGATTGTCTCTGCTTAAAGTTTGTGCTCTCTAAATAAGGCAAGTACTGTGTAAGTGTATGATAATTTTAACCAGGGCACTTAGGGGCCGCCCTGCTCAGAGAGGGAATGGCCAAAGGGGATTCATTTTAACAAACCGCACAGAGAGTGATTAAATAATTCATAGTCAGTCTCGTCAGACTCTCTTCAAGAACACACATACACACACACACACACACACACATACACAGTCTACGTTTTTGTTGATGTGTCCACAGAGCAGTGATGCAGATGGAAGGCTGTGAAAGATAAGATCAATACTACTGCAATAACATGGGCTGGTCTGTGAGCTTGGCAAATTCACAGATTACAACATTTCAGACAGAAAAGAGAGAGAGAGACGCACAAGATTTGAAATTCTCCAGGTCTCTCGTTGGGCCGCGCAGCAGCTCTTAGACCTTGATCAATATTCAGGCATAAACCACGGTACTCTATAACACCAAACACGCCATGATTAAAAGAGATCAGATTCATAGAGACTTTAATAGACAGCGCAAGGTTATAGAAAGATTATTAAAGTGGTTGCAGGAAGTGCTGTAGCACTGGATGCTGTGTTCAAGATGAGGAGCTGCATGCAACATGCATGCAGTGTGGGGGTGGGTTATGAATTATGGAGGGGAAATCAGGCAAATCACAATGCACTGAATCGTGATTATGTAGGACGAGCTGTGGTGAATCGTTTAACTGAGTGTTTGCACTGAGACGGCGATCAGGGGACAAGAATGTGATCAGTTTGTTCAAAATTGGATGAATACATATTATGCTTCGGTATGTGAGGCTAAGGACTTTGACTCTTTAAGAGACTTTTCTTGTTTTAAGCATACACCTAGTTAATCGTTTTCATTTTTTCTTGTTTTAAGTGTAAATCTAATTGTGTTATGTTGTAATAGTAAATGTATTTCATTTTAAAGAGGTTTAGATGATTAAAACATTTCTGATAAAGATAGAAATTATTTTGCAGTGTTGTGTTACTGTGCTGTGGTGGTTCACAATCTCTCGCTCTGTCTCTCTCCTTGTGCTTATGTGTCAGAGATGACCTTTTCCGAGTGGAGCTGGACAACGTGGTGGGAGAAGAGATGTTTTACAGCAAGGTGAGAACAGAAAACACACATACACACATACTTTATGCTGGAAATGAACAGTCCCTCATTACCGAAGCTCCCTCTGTTACAGAAAAGGACATGGGAATCCAACAAAAATGACATCAGAATTTGCAGAATGAAAGGAAAACATGAGGTGAGTGGATGTTGTCACAAACAGACACACATATTTGGTTTGTATGTGAGAAATATATATATCATTTTACGGTAGACTAGCCATAAAAACAATATTTTAATTAATTCATTTATCAATTTAGAGAACAGTTTTTTCAGGGTTTGTTTTTTTGTCAGATTAAGCAGACTTTTTGGCAGTAATAGCTAGCTATCATATTTATTTTTAAAAGATCATTTTTAATTTTTTAATTTTTAATTTTACATTTACATTTTTACATTTCTAAATATGCGTAGTGAGCTGTATTCATAAGGGCTGGTCCTTGCAATCGAGGCAAAACCTGACCCATATGCAGTGGTGTATAAAGTACCTGAAAGCCATACTCAAGTAAAAGTACAGATATCTTACTAGAAAATGGCTTTGGTAGAAGTTGAAGTCACCGTTTAGAATATTACTTGAGTAAAAGTCTTAAAGTATGTGATATTTATTGTACTTAAGTATGAAAAGTATTTTTTAAATCTTAAACGTACTGAAGTATTGAAAGTAAAAGTACAAGTATATGCAAAATGGAAAAGAAGCAAATAAATATATATAAAAAATGTTCATACACTGCTTGAGTAGCAAGATTGTTCAGTTTTAACTCTTTCTTCCATTTTGTGTTTTTGGGTAAGAATAAGAAGCACTTCATCCGGTACTTAGTGTCTTTCATTCCAACACAAGAAAACATTTTTGGAATCTGCATCTGAAATAGCATTTAGATGTATTTACAGTTTATGTATCTCAGAGGGGACATGGATGCATTTAAACTGCAGTTACAGATGCATAAATAGGCCTAATGTTTAGTTTTTTTAACATAAAACGTTGAATACTGATATTTGAAATAATTTAAAACATGAATAGTCTAAATGTGAAATTAAAACCGCCAGTAGGTGACAGCAAGTGTGACTGTTGAGTGAGTCATTGAGATTCAACCGATTCATTCAAACGACTGATTTTTAATTAGGAAATGTAGTGGAGTAAAAGTAAAAGTTGGCTGGAATATAAAAACTCAAGTAAAGTACAGATACTCCCAAAAAATACTTAAGTACTGTAACAAAGTATTGTTACTTCGTTACATTACACCACTGCATACGAACACACAGTCATATCAACAACAGTGTTAAACGTTTCCATTTATTCATGTTGAACACTTTTATATGTGCATGTCACATTATTTGTGCCCCTGCTCACACTTTAAGGTGTCATCACAAGAGCTGCCTGTGGCAAATTTTCAGGAAATCTGTTTTTTCTGTGCTGTGCGCCTTTGCAAATTAGAAAGGGGTGTCAAAAGCTGCCAGCAGTCCCCACAGCTGCCCACGCATGACCACTGCAGATATCTTCCTTTCACACACCCTTTCTGCTTCATCTTCTGGAATATTTTCTGGGTATTTTGTCTGACTTCAATGAGAGTGTAAGGGAGTTTTTATTGAAAGGTGTCTGTGTGGGAAGAGTGAAGGATGACTTAATCCCCTCCAGGCAAGAAACAAGTGAAAAAGAGAGAAAACGACTTATTTAATACTGAAAGTGACACCTGACATTGAATCTGGCTGAAAGAGCGTAAGACAAAAGCATAGCAGAGAGTAAGTGAGATGAGAAATACAAAGAAACGGAGAGAAAGCAAGCTGCTGTCCCACCTGTCTGCCCTAGGGATGGACGAAAAGACAGAGAGAAAGACCCATATAAATGGGAGGAGTAAAAGGGTCAGTGAAAGAGTGAGGGTGGACAGGAAAGATGTTAAAGGTCCAGTTCACCCCAAAAAGAATATTGTCATCATTTAGTATTCCAAACCTGCATGATTTACTTTTCTCTGTGGAACAACTGTGACTGGATCATTGAATTTACTTTTTTTTTTTTTGGTTGTTCACAAATATGGTGAATATCAGATTCAAGTGTGAACTGATCACCACACTCCCATCTATGTAGAATTATGACAAATGTTGATCTAGAATGACATAAGATGCATTAATTCTGATATGACTTCAAACTGAGGTTGCATTGCAAAACATCACACCTAGAGTATATCTGATTTCAGAATCAAAAACAAAAAGATCATTTTCAGTGTGCTTTGTGCTGTTCGCACTTATTAAAAGTCTCTGAACATAGCTTTAGTGAACCATTCTGAATCTGGATTCTCATTTTAAGTTGTTTCTGTATATTCTAATGTAAATGAGCCACTCTGAATCTGAATTCTGAATATAAATATATATTTACCGTGCATTCTGAATTTATAAAGAAGTGAACTACCTGTAATCTGAACCTGAATATGAATAGTGAATTTAAAAAGCACTCTAAATCCGAGTAGTAAATCTGAAAGAATTGCTCTAAATCTAGATTCTGAATGTAAGTGAACCACTCAAGCACTCAAATCTTACATTACTCGTTTGTTAGTATTCTGTTGATGTTTTTTGTCTTGCTCTTTTGTAGTGTTAACTTAGGTTTGCGCTCTGATGGGTCCATTTGAAGTGGTACAACACTCACTTTGCAAACAAATCAGTCTGATTTGTGTATGAATCTTTCAGACAAATTTGTAAAATGGATCAGCTGGTACATTGAAAAGAAGCATCACAAAACAACAGTTTGTTCATTGATTTGGTTCTGAAGTGATTCAGTGATCTGATCACAGCAGTTCTTCAAATAATAGCTCACTGGTGGACAGGCTGACAGTGAATAATGTAATTTAAACTTAAATTTTGGCGTGTTTTCCACACCAAGCTAGCATATTGCTTTAGACTTGGAATATAGTGTCTAAGTCATACAGAGCACTTTTTAGTGTAATTGTTTTCTGCTTGAAGATTCTTCAAAATTTCTCTTTTCATGTTCCACTAAAACATTAACAGTATAATGACAAGGATGATATTTGGAAGGAGTAAATCATGACATTTTAATTTTGGGGTGAGCTTTTCCTTTAAAATGGCTATAGAATAAAGGAGAGATTAAGGGCAAGAGAAAGAGGGACTGTTGGGAGGGAAAGGAGAGAGAGAGAGAGAATTGCCCTCTTAGAGTTAATAAGTCTGCAAACATGAGAGGTCATGCAGAGATGAACGAGAGACGAGACAAGGTCTTAAACAGAGCCCAAGATCTCACACTGAGTGGACACTGATACACACACATACACACGTCTGCACAAACACGTGCTCTACACCCATACACATCGTCCTCTAGTCCTCCTGTGTGAGTCCTTGCGTTTGTCAATGTGATACATTTGCCACTAGGGTAATTGGTTTTGGTAATTAAATGTTTCTGCACGGCTGATCTAAGAGGCCACGAGGCTGTAATTGGGAGGGAAATTCAATCTTCACATCTCTGCCCCTTTCATCTGGATCTGCAGGAAGCCATTTTGAATCTCCAATGAATGCAGATGCGGTCTCTTCTCTCACTACAAGTGTCAAAAGCAACTTAGGTTCATATACACACACACACACAGGGACTGTGGGGCTTGTTTAATGCAAAGCAACTGGAGTGCAGCCAGTGCATACAGAAAAGAAATTCTGTGCCAATTCTAAACACATTATGATTGACAGCACTTAGACAGATTGTTTCACCGATAATGTGCCAATGCAGCTCACTGCACTTCCAATTACACACACCTGCATGGATGTACGTAATATTTGAGAACCAATCTGAATTGAGAATCTACAAAGAACCAAAGTAAACACTTTAAATGTATACAATATATTCTGCGTATGTGTATATGTAAAATAATCACTCTGAATCTGGATTCAAAATCCAAAATTGAATATAATTTTAAAAAGAATATAGAACATACACTCTGTGTATGTGTAAAAAAGCATTCAGAATCAGTACTCTGAATCTTAAATAACCATTTACAATATACAGTAGATTCTGAATTCTGATTTTGGATTTTCAGTTGAAATTTAATTAGTGTATTTTTAATGTAAATTAGCAGATCCAAATATAGAAAAAATAGTAAACACATTCTGTCTATGTGTAAAGAAAATCACTTGAAACCTTTTACAATATATATTCTGAATCCTTTAGGGATGTATTCTGAACCTGAATTTTCACACTGTATGCAAAGTGTATGATGTGCACATACTCTGATTTGATTTTTTTTAGACTTAGCCTATAATAACATCCAGTTGGAGGATATTAAAACATTTGATATTTTGAGCCAATTTTAGAACACGTTTTCATTTGTCATGCATATCCTAGCAGTGTTTCTATGTGAATTTGTTGTGTTGTGATCTTCAGTCAACAAGTGTATGATGCCTAGTTTTTCGGCTGTAACTATTTACAAAGTTGGCAAGTGTATGATGCCTTCTTTGCCTAGAGTTTAAAAACTGCTTAGATTTTAACTCATGTAGTGTGTTCCATCCTCAAGTCGACCATTCTATTTTGAATTTGAATTCTCAGACAGTTGAATTTGTTGCATTCGTATATTCTCAATATAAATGAACCACTTTGAATCTGAATTCTGAATCTAAAGGATCCAAGCTGCATATGAACTCTGAATCTACACTATAAATAAACATGAATAGAAATGAATTCTGAAAATGAAAACTGTTCATCTAAAAGAACAGCTGGATTCCGAATCCTAGTGAGATTCACTAGCTAATCACATCTTACTTTGCTTTGTCTGTTAGTATTCTGTTTGTTGCTGTTTGGTCTTATGTTTTTGTCATGTTAATTTAGGTTTGCACCCCGACAGATCTATTTTGCACATTTAACACGCTTTTAGGGCACATTTTGTTCCCTAGTCCCGAGTACTCTCAGTCTCTCACTCACACTTTTGAAGCCTTAAGCTCCATGATTGCTTTAGTTAGCCTGCTCTCAATGTTGATGTTAGCCCATGGTGTGTTCACCAGCCATCAGCGTCAAAGTGTGTGAGGGGGCGTAGATTAGCCCTAGAGCAAAAACACAAACACACACTATCCCTCTCTCACACATACACAAAACTTCAATCGTTTTCTCCCCACTTTTGTCCTTCTCTTTCTTCCTTTCCTAGTCTATCCCTTTGCTAGCTAAAGTACACATCCTACACAAACACAACACCATACTCTATGCTCTGGCAGATTTGCACTAATTTAGCCCCTGCTGTTAATGTGGTCCCTGTCTGACCGAGGCTGCTGTCACTGCAATTACAAAGAGAATTCTACAGATGACAATTTTGCCACGGGAAATATAGAGACAGAGAAGGAAAAAAAGGTCCCTGCCAACTTTCTTGTGCTCTTTCCTTGTCAAAGCTCTGCAGTATTCTCGCTCCTCTCATGGTTGGAGAAACAGACTCAGTTGAGCACGTAATGGAAACTTCTGAGAGTTAGATTTGCTTATTGTAAATATGACCCTTTTATTATGAGGAACAGTGTCTGAAGTGGTTAAGTGGACACGCGGGAGATGAGTTACTCTCGCAGGTGATAAAGATGTGCAGAATTATGCAGTATCCAGTCAATTGACCATGCTGTGTAACACCTATCGCGTTGTTCATGTTAAAAGCATTTCGGAGTGACAAACCAACCTGAAGTCCTTCATTTTAAGCAATCATCGGTGACACTAAATTGAGCAGTGCTCTGTTATTCAAATGGGCAATGATGGCAAAAATAGAAACCAAGCAATCATTATTATGTTCTGTTCATTGCTTGTTGCATTTGACAGTGTTTTTGTTAACTAAAACAATAAAAATAGTTTTCAAATATTGCCTTTGTAACTGAAATAAAGTTTAAAGTTCCCCTGAAATGCTTAGAAACACGCAGCGTTACTCTGTGTTGACGTCATTTTAACTGAAACAGGAAGACAGGGCGGGACATATCAAGCAGCCCCGCCCCTTTTTAAAATAGCCAATAGCGATCGTTTATATCACAGCTTGGGCTAGAGCCGTTGAGCTCCGTAAAGCCGCATTTGACAGGGTATGCCAGCCACAATCTCATCCATATTGCTATAAAATATAGCATTCTGTGTAGAATTCAAATAGCTCCGATACATTTTGTGGTCTGCGCCGACTCGCGCATGTGATCCGCTCCGTGCTATCGTGTCTCTGGACCGGAGCAGAGTGTGTGTGCGGTGCGGTGGTTAGCGTAACACAGCGCGAAACCAGACTTCTTTTTTTCCTCAATGGAAAGCATATTTACACTGTTTGAATCGTTCTCTGTCCCCTATATAGTGCACTACGTGCCATTCACTGTACAGAAAATACAAATTCTGTGGACAAGTGACCGATTCAGCCGTGGCTTCAGCGGCTATTTTATAGTGTAGGGGGCGAGCGCTTCGGATTCTATCACTGTTTTGGAGCACACTGCCTTATAGATAACCTTAAGACTAACATATTGATACTAACACCCAAAAAACTTTAATTTTGATTTCATGGGGACTTTAACTTGAATTGCTAAACTAAAACTGAAGTAAAATTAATAAAAATTACAAGCACATAAAGTTATTAAAACTTAAATTACAGCTAAATGAAAACTGAACTTAAATAAAAGCTTATTTGAAATATTCATAAATATTATAATAAAATATAAATAATCCCAAAATAACACTGGCAGTTGAAAATGTTTGTTTCAAGCTTTTATCTCGAGTTGATATGTGGTTTTGGACCCGTTATGAGGCACTGTGGATGGTTTATGGTGTTATTGTGGGACTGCATTTGGAAGGAATGCGTTTTGATATAAAGATATCAGTGATCCAGGAATGTAGGGAGTACTGTGTGCAGATGTACGGAGTTGGTGTGGATGTCATGTCTAGAGATTCACAAGAGAGAAAGAGAGAGGCCAGGGAGGAATTCACTTGTTCAGCTCAGCATATGTTAGAGAAAACATCTGCCAGAATGTAACGCCCTTTGACTAAGGTTCTCTCACATGCAAGCTTGGGTGGTAAACTTATCTGGGACCCGGTATAAATAATTTAGTACTTGACACCAACAGTGAGAATTTGCAGTGATAGTCAAGGCCCTGCAAGCTGAATAAATATGGCACACAGGTACAGGGTAGAAAGACAAGGAAAAGAGAAGACATTTTTTCATGGAATTGTTCAAATAAAACTTGATTTGAATTGGAGACAAAGACCTTCACTTCCTTCACTGTGACAAGTTTACAGAATCACTAAAAAACTCTCAAACCTCATACTACTTTTCCAGCTTAGCAGAAAAGACCAAATACATGTTACTTGGGGAGACAGTTATGCATTTTGTTGCAGCAAAATTCATTTTTGAGCTGCACACACTTTTATTATTTTGTTGTAATTCATATTATTATACATGCTTCTTTTATTACAAATACTGATATTACAAATATGGATGCTTTGTCAGATATTATGTTTTATTTTTATTTTATTTTGGTCCAATTCTCACTATTAACTACAAATTTTGATTAAATAAACTCCTAATTTGCTGCTTATTAATAGTTAGTAAGGTAGTTGTTATGGGGTACGATTAAGGGATCTAAAATATGGTCATGCAGAATAAGGAATTACTATGTGCTTTAGAAGTATTAATAAACAGCCAATATGCTACTAATATGCATGCTAATAAGCAACTAGTTTATAGTGAGAGTAAAGTGTTACCATTTTATTTTATACTCCTTATTGTACAGTTATTTTATTACCGTTGCTAGTATCTATCTTTTTTCCAGCAACTGCTTTTGTGTTAATGTGCGTGTTGTTGCTTTGGCAACAGTCATGCCAATAAATTACTAAAAATTGAAAAAGCAGAGACAAGAACAGTCTGGAAGAGAAATGCTGCGGGAGTGGAACGGGTGGGTTAAAGGAGGACACAGAGGAAGGATAAAGGGATAATTGGACTGGTAGCAGGAGAGGAAAAATAAAGGGATGAAGAAAGAAGGCCATTGTGAAACACCAAGCAGAGGGCAGTTGATGGTACAGAGGACATCCAACACTAGAGAGAACCCCTAATGGACTAATGAATAGTGTGTAAATGAATCAGGCCTCTTTTGAAAATATGAAACGAGGGGATGAAAATGGAAAGAGCAGGTGATGGCGATTGAAGGGCTGGAGGAGGATGAGAAGGCCGTTGTTGTTTATCCAGGGGATGTGCTTTATCGCTTAGCAGATCAGGAGCTGTGCCAAGTGTTTGGACTCTTGAAGGAATTGCCGAATCAGTTTTATGAGTAGAGTTATGGGGTTTATGTGCACCGGGCTCCTACTAAGACTCAGTGGTTTATGTGCACCGGGCTCCTACAGAGACTCAAACACGCAAATACACACACACAGGATACATCTGCATCACAACACCCCCACCACCTACACACAATCCCGTTACGATAAGAAAAGCATCTACACACATAAACAGGCCAGGCACTCTCATGCATTGTTGGCTGACATATATATGTGATTTAATGTGCCATTATCAGCTGTTACGCTGTTAGTTCGTGATCTATCGCCAGTCACAATTTTAAGAGATTCTATATTCTTTATCTTTCACCTCTTGCTCATTCTTACTCTGTACTGGCACGGCAGTGACTGTACATTGGTATTCCTAAAGCATAATTAAAATAAATAATAAATATAAATAGCAAATAAAAAACAAGCCATTTAATTACATTTTATATATTTTTTTAAACAACTAATAAGAGTAAAATGTAAACTTAGAAACTTTTAATTAATATAATTTAATTAAATAAATAAAAAATGTAGTAAAAAAGAAAATAAGTCATTAGTAAGTAATTAGTAATGATTTCTCTCACAAACTTTTTCTCTCTCTCCTCACCTCTCCACTGAAAAACAAGAACTCTGTGAGGACCTGAGCATCTGGAATAACACTCACTCCTACTTCTCCCCCTCCGGCTCCTTCCACACGTCCTCATTCTCTCTCTCTCTCTCTCTCCACACTGGCGGGCACACGCGGGGTGCGCCGGTGGGGGGCGGCACGTGGGGGGGCATGACATAAGCTGTCTCTATTTCACATCTCTTAAAGCCGTTCACAGGTGCAGGGCTCAAACATGTGCGTTCAATTGAACCGAAGTTTAGCCGAATGACTCGCTGTGGCATGCCTCTGGTTTGCCAAGTGATTTGTTTGTACAGATGCAAGCAATCCTTGGAATAAAATTGAAAGTGCTGAGAAATGTGATGTCATTCTAAGAGGGAATTCGTTCATGAGAGTTTGATTAAGGAGACAAATGACTTTCTTCTTTTTCTCATGATGTTGTTTTTTAGGACGAGTGCCGTAACTACATGAAGGTTCTGCTCAGCCGGCAGGGTGGATTGTTTATCTGCGGAACCAACGCCTTCAATCCGTTATGTGCCAATTATAAAGTGAGTACTGAATGCTTGAAACACGCTTGCATTTCACATGCACAAAATCACCACACCCTCTAGTCTTTTATTTCCCCGATGTTTTGGCAATGTTTTTGGGGTCTGTATTTTCTCATTACATTTTTTCATACTTTATTTATTCTCTTCAGCCCATTACATTTCTCACACATATTTTATTTCATTCTCCCTTGCTGCTTTTTTTTTTCCGCTTCAAAACGTCACAGTACATTTCAGAGCATTGCTTGCAGCGTCGTTCTAAATGACTCTGGCTTCATTGGGTGACCACGCATTTCTGACCTGGATGGGAATCTGTTCAAAACCCCCAAGCAGAAAGAATCTCCCCTGCCATTTGTTTATACTCTGTTTTTCCACCTGCCTGGCTGTCAATATGCCCAGAAGCACCAAGCTGTTTCTGATTACCTCAAGAGCAGAGAGCTGTCATTAATCAGTCTAGATGCAGTTTTCCGTGCGTGGTTGTTTATTCGAAAAGAATGGTAATGCCACTCAACGGGCACGTTGTTTGATTCCAAGACACTGAGTGTGAGTGTGTTTGTGTGTGTGTTGCCTTCCATCCATCTGGCCAGTGACTCTGTCGCCCCCAGCGTACGTGAGTCACATTAATGCAGGGTCTTAGTTGTTAGTCCACCTGCGGCATCAACTTGAATACCGCATCCACAAATGCTGCACCTGAGCTTTGCCGCGCCTGCCTCGCATATCAGATCCGCTCATTCTGAACCAATCACGCTAATTATATGCCTGCTGAATAAAGAAGAAAAACACATAATTACTAATCATCCGCTCTGCAGGATTGAGAAGTGTGAAAGTGTGAGTGAGGATCCACTCTTCAGGTCGAGAAATGCACATATTAAGAAACACACAAATATAATATAATATAATATCGTTAAATTCATTTTAAAATGTTACAAAAGATTTCTATTTCAAATAAATGCTTTGTATAAAAAAATTAAACAATCCTGAAAAAATTATTTTTTTTTTGATATCACAGTTTCCATAAAAATATTAATTAGCAGAACTGTTTTTAACATTGATAATAATAAGAAATTTGAAGTTTCATGTGACACTGAAGACTAGAGTAATTTCAGCTGACAATTCAAATATATTCAAATAGAAAACAGCTATTTTAAATTGTAATAATATTTCACAATGTTACTGTTTTTACTTTATTTTTAATAAGATAAATGCAGCCTTCTTGAAGGTTTTCGTAAGAAATTAGTTTTCAATTTCATTGTTCACCAAATGGCTTATACGAGCAAAATTACAGACATTAAAATAAAGCAGTAGAATAAAAATGTCCATAAGTGACATCTGTGCTTCCCCACTCTTGACAAGCACCTGCCGCTATTTGCATCAAGGGAATTAGAAAGATAAAAGTTTGTGTATGAAAAAGTCTTGAGGACACGAATAAACTCAACCTGTCAGCTCTGAAACACATTATTACAGATTTGAGCAAATGAAAAGAATTATCGCACACCTGTAATGCAACATTACACCTGTCAAGAGTTTAAGAGGCTCTCTAGAGACAGAATAGTTTGGTAGAGACAGAAAGAGGGAGATCGCACAGGTTTATTTATAGTTAGTTTTAATGGCCTGAGAATAATTTTAAGCTTGAACTATAATTGTGCTATAAATCGCCTGTGGATGTTTTTGAAATTAACTTTTGTGCATATGTTTTAGCTCCCCTTCTGTTATTCCTACGCTTCTTGTATTTTTCTCTTTCTGCTTTTGTATTAGCAAACTGTACATTTGAGAGAAACACATTTATTTTGCTAGAGTCAGTTTTTCACCTATTTCTGTATTTTTGCTAATTGCATTTTTCTCCAGTTATTGAATGTGTTTTCTCTTTGTGTGTGTGTGTGTGTGTGTGTGTGTGTGTGTGT